TCGAGTCTTTTTGGCTCGATCATGTCATCATCAACCTCAAGCATCCAACAACAGCAACAACAATCAACACCATCATTTTCATTTTCGGCTGCTCTCGCCAATCCACAGCAGTCAACCGGCAGTGTGTTCGGTGCGAAGCCTGTTGGTGAGTTTCATCTTACTTTGCGTTTTCGTTCATTTCTTGTTGTTGTCGATTGAATAGAAAATTTTCACCTGGTTCTTGCGTCTTTATTGCATGAAGTTAGTCAATTAGTGTTCAAAATTGACGACAAACGCAGCAAAATATCACTTCATTCAAACAGAGCAGGATGCATGTTCTGTGGGATTCAAAAAATTTCGGATTGAAAATAAAAATTATCTAATTGTAAAAAATCCGGTAATTTTCAGTGACTGGTGCAACGTCAACATTCGGAGGTGCACCAACGTTTGGATCGAAACCAACATTCGGTGCGCGTTCACCACTTGCATCTGCGTTCTCACAAGCTTCTGGAGTTCAAGCCACACAACCGACGGTGCCTTCGAGTGGTGGAATATTCTCTGCGTTAGTGCTCTTTTTCTTTTTTTTGTTTTTGTTTTCGTGTTAAAATAATGAAGAAAGGGTGATAAGTTATCAGTAATATGAAGTGCTCATTTTATTTGGTCGCTGATTTGATGGTTGAATTGCTGATTAAATAAAACAAATAAAAAAATATGAACTGTTCGTTCGATGTTGACAATTGGAAAAGAATTGAACAAATTAGTTGTTTATCGTATTGCGAAAACACGACGACAGTGGATCGTCGAATCTCTTTCCGAATGGCTCTTATTGTTAGTGGATGAGTTGTTCAAGTTTTGGGCAGGATGGAATGATACTTTGTTTGCATCACAGCATCAACGGAAATCCATCGCAGATTGATTTGGAAGTGAACTGAGGTTAGAATTCAATGACCAGAGACGTTTTCAGATTCGCCCACTCGGGCGTATCGTCAGGTTTCGGTGCGTTGGCAGCCGCCAGTCAACAGCAAGGTCAGAAAAGTTCTCTGTTCGGTGGTAGTGGGTTTGGTTCACTTGTCCAGCAACAACAACAACAACAACAGAAACCATCCGTTTTCGGCGGTTCCACCTTCGGTGCACAAGCGAACACTCAAAGGTATCTTGTCGTGACTAGATTCTCAAAAATCTTTTAAATCGCTTTATACTTCAAAAATGTTTTGTTGTGTTAATAGCGATGGTATTGTAGTGACTTTATTTGAAACAAATATTTGATTTGTGATGTGTTATTGGCATTGATGTTGGTGAATATTGAATTATTACATTCATTCATTCATTGAATTAATGCAAATCAAAAACACTCAGCACTGGCTTAGATTGAAGGTTTTATGTTTTATACACTTCGTTTCATTCAAAATGTTCGAATTTGTCCACTACGCTATTTGAAAGTATTATATTCTGCAACGTTGCTGATTATCGAATTTCAGCTCGGCATTTTCCACGTGGCGTTCAGGATGAAACCGAGGATTACCTCGTGGAACAACATGAGTAGTCATTTATTTATTTTCCGCATGAGACTTGGATGAATTTAATTCTTCATCCATCGGAATCGGATTGCATTTATTTGTATCGAGGAATTGTTTGTGTACAA